ACCTATTCGCTTATACTTTACCCAATCACAATAATATTCGCAATTAGCGATTAATACAATGTATCACACATATCACCTTAGTACAAAAATCCACTGTAATACAAAAATAAGATTCATATTTATAGCAAAGTTAACCATACCTGTAGTAAGTCCTAAGATAGTTTCAAAGTAAAAAATTGTATGTATCATTTTCATGTACTTTGACATCTAGGACGTTGAGTTATTATCAGATTGAAAAAAAAAAATAGTTACCTACATAGAAAATTATCGCCTCGGTTTTACAATACATAATCGGTCGGTATCTCTACAGAAATTTTATTAACCACAGTAGTCCCAACTATTTAACACCCACAAACTTTTACATGCATACAAATACTTTTCGGGTGAATTAAAGTGGTAATACCAAGGGAAGAAAGAAAGGTTTGAATACATGAATTTTGGCATTTAGATCTACAGCCCTACTTACAGACTAACTAACTAGGGTTGTGAACTCTTAACTCTCAATCATAATTGATTATTTTAACATAACTTTTCTACTCATACTTATTTAATGAAATTAAATATAAGTGAACGCTTCTACTTTGTGTACCATCAATTAATTTATTTAAAAGCTATGACAAAAATTGAATGACAGTACTTAATAATTTAGAGATTATAAATCGATTATTAATTCAATACTGACTTAAAAACGTAACTAGCGAAAAAAAACACTAGTTGAGAATACATAAATACAATATCTTTTATGCAATTGAAAGTAGATTTTAAATTTAAATATAAAAATACGCCTTTATATTAACTTCAACGACGCTCTAAAACTATGAATTAGCTGCTATAAAAATAAGAAAATATAATATCTAATTTGATTATCCCATTTATCTATAGGTATTACGATTTATTTTATTTAAAGACCACACGCGACGCCTATGGCTGTACGAAACTTTCAACANAAAAAATTGTACTAGCTATAAAAATAAACTTTTTACAGCCATTTAAACATTCAATTTGTTAACAACAATTAAACTGACCACTTTCAGGCTTTCCCACCAAGTTTTTTGGTTTCGAGAAGTCAAAATACTTAAAAATAAGTTATTTGCAGCCGTGGAATTCTGTTTGGCTACGGAAACCTATCTGGCCCCTAGCCCCTAGACTAATACGAGTGTAGTAGCAAAAAGTTGTCGGTCTTTTATCAAAGGAAAATCGTATCAACAAATTTAATTTAAAATCTAAAATACCGGCTGTTTTCGTAGTAGCTGTAGTCGCCCAGGTGCATCGAGTGTACGAAGTGGTCGGTTATATGTCAAATACTAACCTGGCGAGCTTGAACCTGAACTTGGCAACGCTGTTCCTTTAGCCGACAACTGTTCGTGACATTACGTTACAAAATTTTCCGGGCATCCGGGCATCGGCAGGGCAGCCCTCGTAGCGGGAGTTATGGGTTGATTTCCTTCATTTTTAAAAGTCGAGTAAAAAAATTTTTTTTCCGATTTTCTGTCTTTATTAAGCTTTCCGAATACGTGGTTAAAATTAATGACATTATGACTGAATCACCCTGTATATATAACAAACATTTAAGTATTAAAAATTATGACAAATCGCTCACAAAACTATCCAGCTTATCTTCTTAGTAGCAAAATACCTGTGTCTTCTTGTATTCCATTACATGGGAATTTGCACTATAACTCTTCCACCTTAAGAATGACGCATCCCCTGAAAAGTTGACTTTTTTTGTTCTAATTCTATGTCATCTCGTTGATTGGCTTTACCCGTGCTCTTCTTTGTCCAAGTTAGCCTGCTGTTCCTCCATCTTACGTAAGGCCTCGCGTAAGGCACACAAGATAATTTTTAAGATTTAGACAACATTTAAATACGACAAAACCAAACAATAACAGTTAGATACTTACACAACTTTCAATAATTTCACACAACACACTATGATCATGTATTTACAAAACATTTATCTATACTGTCTATTCTCATTCAACTAGAAGCGTAATAGTTGATGCACAGCGGACTGTCGGAAATTTTACAAACCGATTATGCACCAAGAGGTGACGATCACTTAACCATTACAAGACGCGTTTTACACGTTACAAACGGTAAAATAATCATTATGAAAACGAATAGTTCTGTTGATACAATTCGGACATTGGTTTTAAATCTTGTCTTAAATCTAAGAATTCACATTCAGGGAATATGAAGGACAAATTACATTTATACATGTGATAGATAAGGTGCGTATAAGAATATCATATAGCACATGAAAAAAAAAAAAATAAGTTACCTATTCGCTTATACTTTACCCAATCACAATAATATTCGCAATTAGCGATTAATACAATGTATCACACATATCACCTTAGTACAAAAATCCACTGTAATACAAAAATAAGATTCATATTTATAGCAAAGTTAACCATACCTGTAGTAAGTCCTAAGATAGTTTCAAAGTAAAAAATTGTATGTATCATTTTCATGTACTTTGACATCTAGGACGTTGAGTTATTATCAGATTGAAAAAAAAAAATAGTTACCTACATAGAAAATTATCGCCTCGGTTTTACAATACATAATCGGTCGGTATCTCTACAGAAATTTTATTAACCACAGTAGTCCCAACTATTTAACACCCACAAACTTTTACATGCATACAAATACTTTTCGGGTGAATTAAAGTGGTAATACCAAGGGAAGAAAAAAAGGTTTGAATACATGAATTTTGGCATTTAGGTCTACAGCCCTACTTACAGACTTACTAACTAGGGTTGTGAACTCTTAACTCTCAATCATAATTGATTATTTTAACATAACTTTTCTACTCATACTTATTTAATGAAATTAAATATAAGTGAACGCTTCTACTTTGTGTACCATCAATTAATTTATTTAAAAGCTATGACAAAAATTGAATGACAGTACTTAATAATTTAGAGATTATAAATCGATTATTAATTCAATACTGACTTAAAAACGTAACTAGCGAAAAAAAAACACTAGTTGAGAATACATAAATACAATATCTTTTATGCAATTGAAAGTAGATTTTAAATTTAAATATAAAAATACGCCTTTATATTAACTTCAACGACGCTCTAAAACTATGAATTAGCTGCTATAAAAATAAGAAAATATAATATCTAATTTGATTATCCCATTTCTCTATAGGTATTACGATTTATTTTATTTAAAGACCACACGCGACGCCTATGGCTGTACGAAACTTTCAACATGTCATGTACACATTCATATCAACACGACGCATGTTTAAAAATAACAAGTTGTCTGCCCTCGGACAATTATTCGACAGGCATATAACGCGCCTCTGAGCGAAGTTTACTAAAATGCAGAAAATGCTACTAATAAAACTGTGAGTAGAGCCACTCCTACCTCAACAAAACCACTATAAACGTGCTCATTATTAAGTACCTATTGTATGCGTTTATTACATAATTTTTTATATAAAAAACGTATTTTCTTTCAATAGTTTAACACTACTGAAGCATTTCCGAAACATATTTTTAGGAATTGTTTAATTTGTAACCTAGAATTTCGAAGTTTGGCCAAGCATTTTTAGTTACAACCTGTACACAAATGTATTAAATAAAAAGAAAATCGCTTCACGGTAGTAATTTATTCTATCAATTCATAGTAGTTATCCTGATAAAAATTAGTTACAGATAAAAAGGATAGAGATACCTTTATAACTTCTGGAACGTTAGACAGGTATTGTAAACATCTAATCTGTGAACTAGAAAAAATGTTATCTTAATTAAACAAACAAGTAAATTAAAAAAACAGATAACATTAAATAGCTTACACCTAAGTTAGTAAAATATTTCATTGCTATTACGATCATTTATTGAGTCATGTTGGCAAATGAAAAATAGCTAAACATATCAAAATGTATAGTGATTTACTGATTTATAAAAAGCTCTCAACCGAATAGATAAATATAATCACTACTAAATTTTGAAAAAAAAAAAGGTTGTACCTATTCCTAATGCAATTCACAAATATTATAAAAAAAATCAATCATTCACTGCTTAATAAATTTATATTAAATTATTATATACATATAAGGTTTTTGGCAATTAATAACTACTTAATAGATAATATGGAAACGTCGAGGGAAATACTGTAGTGAGTAGCATTTTATTATACTATTGCAGATTGCAGTTTTAATAATAAAATCTACAAATCCTGAATATTAAAGAAGATTACGCAACTTACTATAATTTATAATATAAAAATCTTTAACACATTCTGGGAACATACAAGAACGACATAATATAAATCAAGGCCAGTGCAATTTTATAAAAGTTAAATTCTTAAAACAGTCCTAATATATAGTAATTTCACGAAAATCCAATTAACGTGACTTGCAAAAGGAAGGTTCTATTTTCACATAAAGAAAAAAATAAATCGTGTGTGTATTCATTTCACAAGTTAACGTTAACTTTCGTACGCCTTTCATGTACAACTTATGTAGGTATATAGTTCCCCAGGCACGATAAGGCAAGCCGATATACCCGTTCATAAAATGCGGGTCATTGCCGCATACACAGATATACCGGATTAACAATTTTCACTTGTACCGACATTAAAAGTGAAGGCTTTGTTAGAATAGTAATTTCAACTGTGTGACTGTGTGCTAACTTTGCGTTTTGACGTGACACATCTGACCTGTACCAACCTTAATTTTTTAATAGGTTAAATTCCATAATCAAAAGGGAATACATATTTATTTTTTACATATTTTCAACAAAATGGAAACACTCGAGAATTCTTTGAAAGTTTGTCGTTAAGAACCGGCAAAAAACAAACATGATTGGCATATCCAATGAGATAACCAGTAAAGCGACCAACTATAAGCATTTACCCGCTATTTTAAAACATCTAAACCTTTAACATAAAGAGTTATTTAATTTAAACTTGCTCCATGTTCCATTACAAACAACTACTGACGATGTAGGAATTATATACTAAATAAATAAGATGCTTACCTTATAACGAAACCGTGACAGAAACAAAGAGAAGCTTTCGGAGCCACGCTGCTAGATTCCAAGTTGGAGGAGCTTTCTTATTCCAAAAGCACATAAACACGACCACTTTTTGTCAATCATAAGACACAATAATGTTTATAAATCCTTATAATTTGCACTGTTTTATTATTTGTTAGAATTATAGGCCACTTTCGTAAAAATCTTTTGCAACGACAACGCTAGTGCTCACTTACTATCCCCACTTCGGCACATCAAAATGGCGGTCGCGCACTGTAATAATACAGTTCGTTCGCCGTTCGTTCCTTCTCCCAACACAAACTCCCCCTCACGACTTAAAAGTTCCTAAACTGTTGACAAACTACGCATATAGAAAGCAGCACAACACATTTATTTTCAAATGATTTTGTTTACATCGTTTTTCTAAATTCATTTTTATTAAAAAAAAGTCGATTAGAAATAGAAATTAGGTATATCGACTAAATTCTGGAAAAAGCGTAAATGGGTAGATATTATTTTTCTCAAAAAATTATGCTTGTCTATCTTCAATCAAAAATGAAAACTATTATTTGGTAATACCTATTAAATTTATTTTCATAATAAGACAAATGCCTATAGTTAGGTATTTGAGTAGGTTCACTAATTCGATAATAACAAATTTAAATTATAAGAAAAAATTTATGAACAACCTGTCACTAAAATATATTTTCCAATTTTTATCATCAGGTATTTAAATTATCTCCAACTTTAAAAAACCAAGTTTGAAAAAATAAATTTGAATAATGTACAGTGACATCTTTCTTTTCCAGTATTATATTTATTAGTTCATTTTCTTATCTTATGTTGGTAGAATGGGTAAATTACGTTTCCCGCGCTTTTTGTACTTGTCATTAATTTGACAAGTTTTGTGTCATACTACTTTACTTCAAAAACTATTTTAATTTAATGATTGTATAAGTCGTGACTATTTTGTGTGTATCTATTACAAACATAATGAGTGCTGTCCACGAACCTCTTCGGTACGCTCATGATGAGGGACATACAGATGTTTGTTATACAGAAGACGGAACGTAAGTAATACCGTGCAACGAGAAAATATTGTAATAAGTATAATTAACATTGTAGAAAATTTATAACATGTGGAGCAGATGGAGATATAAGGATTTGGTCAACAAATGACAGTGAGGATCCTATACATAACTGCATTGGAGAGTGGGCATTATCCGTGAGACTTAGAGGAAATAATGTATATGTAGCCACAAGTAGTAATGATATTCAAATTCTCAGTTTACCTGAAGGGGATCGAGATGGTGTTTTAGATAGATTTGTGGCACCGATTAATCATATTGCAGTTGCAAAAGGTGGCAAGGTAAGTATACACCAATATATAGAAACAGAATTTATATATGAATAATGTGAAAAAAATACTTGTTTTATGATCTAGTTGATCGCATTAGCTGGAGAGGATATGGAAGTAAAACTAATAAATTTAGAAAGAACAAATAAAGAAGTGACTGTATTTAATGGTTTGGCAGGCCCTTGTTTGAGTGTAGCAATATGTCCTCAATCAAAAATATTAGCAGCATCTTCAGGAGACACCATGTTACGTTTATGGAATATTGAAAGCAACGAGTTACTTAAAGAAATTAGCTGTTTTCCTAAAGTTAACAGTTTTTCAAATGCAAAAATTTTATGTAAGTATTTAGTTGTAAGTAACAATTGATTCTTTATGTATTTATGTGAATGTAATGCTACTTTAAGATAATAAGATAACTTTTCAAAACCAAAAAAAAAAAAAATATATTTTAATAGTAAATTTAATAACTGAAATGTGAAAATAAAATGTTCTATTTATTTTTAGGTAGAATAGATTTTGATCCTGTTAGAGGTAACCACCTGGCATATCCTGATAAAAGTAATGTTGTCATTATAAATATCAACAATTGGAGTGAAAAATCGAATTTAACATGTGATGAAATATCAACTTCATTTTCAATAGTACAGTACTCTCCAGGTGGACAGCATATTTTAGCTACTACAGAGGAGGGTGATTTTGTTATTTGGGAAATATCTTCCGAAACTGTTGTTAGTTTAAGCAAACATCAAAAGTCTATTGGTATTTGTGGTCTTATGTGGAATCCAAAAGGTATAGCTGCAATTATTTTATACATAATACTTTAATTATAATTAATATTCCAAAATATGTATATTCTTGATAGGCCTTTTGCAGATAAAAATATTTTAATAGTTTTTGTATCTACACTGAATACTACAAACAATGTGTAAAGGTTTTGTTATATTAATTTATTTTTAAAAAGTTATTAGATATTAAAGTTTTAATTGGTTCCCTTCGCATGCAAACGTCATCGGTAAGTAAATGGCAAGCGCGACATATACAATAGCGCATTCCGATAGAGCAGCTGACTGCTTTGGTTATTAAATGTGTGGAGCGGTGTCAATATGCAGTACGATACCTTATATATACTGTAAATTTGTGAAGTAAACTTATAATAACTATGGCAAATCCCTCTAAACCATATAGTCCAGACAGCATCTATTTCAAAAAGTCCATATTTGGGTAAATCGTATATCCACTGAGATTTTTGGCTTTTTGGTTTTCAAATATCACTAGAAATGAAAATTTTTCTATGCGCATAAAAAAACGTGGGCTTAAGTTTTGGCGGCACAATATGTTTAAAAAATTCGAAAAATGTTATATTTTTCTTCCTATTATGTATCTTTTCAAGAGTTCATTTTAGGCGAAAATGGAAGAGGAAAAAAATGTTTGTAATTAATTTTTTTACAAAATATGACTAGTTACAAATCGAATGAATCATGATTATTATTGTAAAAATCGATAAAATCGCCAAATATGGGGTTAAAAAACATTACTTTTTAGGGAATCTTTGAAGTCTTTAAATTGGGTTGGGATTTTCATACTTGGCTCAAGAAAACTTCGTTATGTAGAATCATCACACCAAATTTCATCAAAAGCGGTTAGATAGATTTTGCATAATAATTTTGCAATCCAGATTATTAAAAAAAAAAAATGCAAATTTTCAAAATTTTGCACAGCAAAAACCAAGGCCCTTAGATACTTGAAAATTTAATCACTTATAGAAGGGCTCAAGCTTTCAAACGCTTTTTGAAAAATTCGAATCCGTCAATTAGGAGAGCATAGAAAAATTTTTATTTCTAGTGATATTTGAAAGCCAAAAAGCTAAAAATCTCCGTGGATATACGAATCACCCAAACCAAAACAAGATACCGCCTAGTTTAATACTATTACTGGTGCATTGTACCGAGGTGTGAAAATACATCAGTAAATACGCCAGAAAAAAATCTATTTTAAAATAAATTTATGTAGATATCTATAAATCACATTTTCATACCTGTTTGCTTTTATTCCCCTTATTTCTGCCGAATAAAATAAAATGCTTTTCGAAAAAACTCCGCAATCATCATGGAATTCAGTAAATTGTCTGATTGGGCTTTAGCATAACCTTGTTCGATCATGTTACAAATATTTTTAAGAATTTTTAAAAAACTAAAAACTAATTATGATTATTTAAAATAACAAGTTTAGATTCAATATATTATTTAGGTAGTAAATAATATTATGGTACCCGAGGAAAGCTCACTTGAACTAAACGTCGTAAAAATTAAATATTATACCTGCACAGACTTAATTATTTTGTTACATAGGTGCATATTCAGGTATACCTACATAATAGAATGGAAACCAGTTAATAAATATAACAGCACATCGTATGTAAACTAAAAATAATAAATGTTTTTAAGAAGTAATAGGACCGACATCGTTTTCTAATGTTATTCGGCCAGTTTACTTACCGATGACGTTGCACCAATAGCAACTCATTCTACGACACGCCGCTACAAGATGGTCATCTCCAAATTTCAACGTACGATTTAGTCAATTTTCGAGGAGAATTTTTCACAAAAGATTTTATAATTAATAATTTTAAATAAGGCCATATTTTAATATGTGAACTAATATAAAAAAACCGGCATGTGCAAGAGGCTTATTATGAATCATGTAGATCATTTTTTTTTTTCAGGAAATGGGGAAATAGTATATACTGACATTGAGGGTCAATTGGGACGTATCTCTAATGCAGTCAAAATAGATTCTGTTCTTGAAATTGAACCAGTACCAATAGAAGATGGTGCTTGTTCAGAAGATGTGGATTTTGAAGAGGTCATGTTCGATGATGATGAGGACAATGAAAATGCAATTTCAGTTGAGAAATTAAAGAGAGAATGTTTGGGAAGCCCTGAGTCAGAATTTAAAAATCTGGATGATGGTATATATAATTTGAAATAAAAAATAAATCTGACATTGTCTTAATTACAATAATTACAATTAGTGCAATAGAAATTTAGAAATGTATTGTACATAATTTTTAATTTTTATTTGTTAATAACGTTTTAGATTCCCTACATGTACCTACTCCAAGGCCACGTACACCAGAAACTCCTCTCCAGTCTCCTTTTATGCCTTCGTCGACTCCCGATCACTTAGACCCACGGTATCTATGCTGGAATGACATTGGAATTATCAGGAGTTACGGAGGTGTTGCAGATGAATCTGCCTCGAAATCAATTGAAGTTGAATTTCACGACTCTACCTTTCACAACAGTATGATGATGCAGAACTATCAGGAATATACAATGGGTTCACTTAGTAAAGCTGCCCTTGCAGTGGCCAATTCCAGGTAATATATTCAAAGTTGCAACGTATATGTAAAAATTTAATTTCTAAAAATTTACACAGTGTTAACCACATATTCTTTGAGCAAAAATAGTAGGGCTTTGTTACACCATTTTTCATTTGGACTCTTTTTAAGATATAGGATGTCAAAGTTAAAATTTTGCATAAATTTTATGTTATGCAGGCAATTTTGTGCAATTTTGAACAAAACAATCCAAACAAATGGAGGAAAGGATATTGCAGTAGTCATTAAATTTCTCCCTAACATTTTCCTGTGTATGCTGTGTTTTTTCCCCAGTTGTATATGCCTGTGGTTCCAAGAGATTTTTTTAAATCAAGTGTTTACTTCTTTAAGGAACCCTTTCTCACGAAAGAATGTCTTCTACAAAGACAAAAGATTTTAAACATTTAATAGCTGAACTGGATAATTACAATGATATATGTGAATATATCCTTATTGTTGGTTTTATATGTGATAAATTAATTATAGAAGTGTACATTGAAATTCCATGTAAACCAACATTTTCATAGTTTTTTTAATATTAAATCACTACCTGTTGGCAATATAAATGCACTGGTTTTTCCATCTGTGAGATTTTCGATATTCGCAAATATGAATACGAAATCACATATGTACTAACAAATAACTAAAAATAAATAACTATAAATTGGGCATTAAAAATAAATCAAGGACTGCTAATTTATATAAAAATAAAATTAACAGATGGAAAATAGAAGGTAACACGTTCACTGTCAATGTATCTCAGCCTCATGAGGTCACATTTATGTAAAATTTTGAAGCTAGTGTTCTGTAATTATTTAAGAGACTGCAAAAATTTTTGCTTCTTTAATGGCACTACTTGAAAAAATGTTTATAAGCGGTGCCGCCAGGCGCTTAGAAGTGTCCTATTATTTTAGCATGATTTTTGCCACTTCATGACAGTTTGTTCGGGGCTCTTTAAAATTGCAGTACTCCCTCATGAGTCATGGACGCTTATAAGTAGAGTTCGGGGTTTTCGTCGGCTAATCATGGGCGTGTTCGTCGCAAACAAATAAATAAACAGGTAGGTATAAATAAAAATAAATCAATTTACTTTATCAGCGAAAGGTCGTTTTTTACCCGTTGGCGCGTTCGATATTATTAGAGTATTAAAACACGTATACACAAAGCAAACGCAAAGCCAAAAACTGCCGTTATACTGGTATTGTACGGTGCGCTGGTAGCGCAGAGCTACTGGAGAATACAGCCACTAAAAAACTTCAGAATTTCGACATCACTGAGATTCAGTTAGTTGATTTGATTTTTAATTGTATTTTAAAGAAAAAAAAAGGCTTTTTAAAAGTCTATAAAAAATTGTTATGAGTACTATAACAAATACATTGTCATCAAACTTTCAAAAAAATTATGAGGTAGAAACATTATTTTTTAGGAGTAATATCCCTTAGAAAGTTCAAAATTTTGGTGCTAATGATTTTTTATTTACTTTCGATTATATTTATAAAAAAAAGTTCCTATAGATCTCTTCTTTGATAAAAAAAATGATGGTTTGAAGTAACTTTTTTGCATTGAAATACAATTCAGAATGTAATGCACTTATTGATTTCGAAAATACTTAGTAATGTCAAAATGCTTTTTAGGTTTTTATATAGATGGCAATTATCTCCTAGTATCCCCGTCATTGATTAAAATTTGTATATTCAATTCAATTCATTTCAATGACTTCTTATCTTTATTAGTTAGAACTCTAGCCAGTTTCATCAGGTTAGATTAAGTTTCAGAGTTATTTTTGCAATTTATATTTTCAAAAACTTTAATATCATGTGCCTCAAAAACTAAGCTGTTTATACAATAGGCCGATAAGAATTTTTCTTCTTAAAATAATCATCTCTGACTTAAGTTACATCCTGTATATCAATGTATATGAAAGAAATTAGTACATTTTCTTTTAAGATCTTGAGGTATTTTTTATAATTTAAAAAAGGGAAAATAAATCAACTACAATGTACTACCTTTATTTAATCAAAAGAAAAAACATAATATTTTGGTTCTATCACCAGTTTCACGTTTTTAATAAAATAAATTTGTTTCAGAATTCTTTTTTATAGCGGATAGTGTTTTCTTACAAGTGTTCTTTCTTTACATATTCACATTTGCTAGAAATCCACAATAAAATGCGTGAATAGAATTTAAAGAAGTTTGATGTAAATAATTCACACTTATAATTGCAAATATGAATATTTGGAAGTTGAACATTCGGTTTTGGAACTCAGAATCTAAACAAAGACTCTTTTTCTTTCTTTCTATTTTGTTTCTTTTTTTGTACCAGCCAAGGATAAAAATCTGCAAAATTTTTGACTGCATACCTTAACAGATTGGCTGCTGAAGCAGATACAAGTGTCTGTCATACATCAATTAAGTTTTTGAGCCGAGCGTCAACTGTGTCTATTAATATTACTTACTTGTATTAATATAGGATAAGTCTGCTATTATGATGCTGAACATAATTTTGTGCATATGAGTTTTTTGCCTTATAACAAATAAACATTTAAGAATATATTATTTTATTTATCTATATTTGGTGTAAAATAATGGAATGTGTGAACAAAAAATAACTGAAAAGTAATTAAAATTAAACAGAAAATATGTGCAAAAATATTACCATAAAGTATCACCTGATAATCTTGATAATATATATGCCAGAGCAAGATGAAATATTCTCTTTGTCCGATTGCCAAAATTCACGTTCACTATTATAATAAAAATCACCTAAAGAACATAAAAATAAAGAGTCCAACTACACTGTTACTCACTGTGGTTATATTTACAGGGTGTAAGAAGTATGACTGCCATAACTTCAGCATGAGATAGAGTAATCATAAATGAACAAAGAAGTTGTATATTACAGGGGCGTAAGATTAACAGTTTTCAAATACAGCGATTATTAATATTGGGGAGTTTCATTCACGTGACAACAGCGCTACACAGATGATGCACACCACGTGTGCATGTGGCAGACTTGTCCTATGGAAAAAATATAAACAACTATTATGGTGAAACATTTAGTAAATTTCAAGACAATTGTTTTCCAGTTTTTAAATAAATGAAATGTATCGACTTTGTAGTACGAAGATAGTGTTGTGTTTAAATTTTAGCTCTAATTTTAGTACTTATGAATTTCTTAAAACAGGAACTTAACTTTTAATCAAATTATGTATTTGAAAAATATGTAATTAAAGTACCCAAAGATGCACATCGTCCAATAAATAATCATACGTATTAAAAATAATTTAGGTACTTACCAAAAAGCAAAATTCAGTAATTTTTAAAAGCACAAGTACAAAACAAACTATAACATATGCTCAAAATGTCCACCACCATTTTCAATGCACACACTACACCTTCGAAACCAATTTTCGCACACTCGCTGGCAAACGCCTCAAAAAAAGGAAATAGTGGTTTGCAAAAAACACTTCAACACTGTCCAATTCCAGATACCAACACCAACTGCATTGTGTATTGCTGGACAGCTTAGTACCTCGTGTTAACCGCCGCGCCGTTGTCACATTGCTCGATATGAATTTTACCGAATCTTAAATTTATTACGCTAATTATTTTCTAGAATCAAACAAAGAAGTTTAAAAAAGTGATAAACATTGTATTTTATGGTATTCTATGCACGCAGTTATGTCAATATTCTTTAATTAATCAAACTTTTGTACATTTTTTACATTTTGTATTAATTTTTTGTACTAATAATTTTTTTTCTCGGAAAATGTTAAATTTAGGACCCATGTCATATAAGGTTTTTTTGTTTATTTTAATGTATTCTATCATCTGTTAAAATTAAGGCAGTCAAACTTCTAACACCCTGTATATAAACACAGATATTGCACATTAGAAATGTGTCTGCTGATGGTGCCTGTAAATGAAGCGCAGGGCATGTGTTGATGCCTACCAACAAAAAAAATTTAAAAGCCTAATTGCATGATTTTGCAGGTTTTTTATTAAAATTTTTCAATATTTATTAACAGTTTTTTTTATCAACACGACCCAAATTTACTGACACTCAACCTGTAAAAAATAATGTGGAGTTATTAATAAGAATCTTTTTTAATTGTAAATTAAATTTGAATGCTCTGTATCTTGAAAACAGTCAGCTAATTGCGAGATGGCATAAGCAAGATTGCATTATTTTCAGCCAAAGAATATTTGGTTAATGACTTGTCCTATTTTTTTTTCTAATACTCTGTATTTGTCCATCTCTATCATAGCGATAACAAAACTTTATTTTTTTAAGTCAAGTAAATGTTATTCCTCTCGCTGCTAGTTCGAAAGAGTGGCTCCTAAAAGTTGAGGAACATGAAGAAATAGTAGTAATTGCAGTTTCCGAAAATTTAGTTTGTTTCGCAATGGCTAATTACATTGTTAGAATATGTTCAGTTTTCGGAACCCAGAGGGCTGTCGTTGCTCTGCCTGGTTCTATAGTCACCATGGTTGCATTTAAAAATGTCCTTATGGTGGCATATCATTCAGGTAGTGTCAGGAAAGGCGATCAGTGTATTAATATAAGGTTGATAAAATTTGAAGGTAAACAATTTTTTTCGTTTTTCGGTGACAATTTTCTACTCAGCCTTTATCTAGGTTCTTCTATAGACAGTAAGGACATTGGTTCAGCGCTGGGTCCTGAATCCACTTTAATGTGGCTGGGGTTCTCTGATGTCGGTACCCCTGCTATGATGGATTCTTTAGGTATGTTGAGTTTATATCCTCATAACAGCAATATCTGGATCCCATTTTGTGACACGAATCGACACGTAAGTTTTCAGGAATATTTAATACCAGGGTTGAACTTTTTTTTATCTATAGAGTAAAAGTCTGTCAGATGGATTTTTCGTGACAGCAGTGTTTGAATCTTATCAAGCTGTCGGTGGGATAAAATGTAAAGGAAGTATGTATCCCGGATTTGCGCCAAGACCAACTATGTGCGAACTGCCCTTAGAACCACCATTTGCTGAAGCAACAACTGAGAAAACACAAATGGAAATGAATTTATTTACTTGGTCTATGCTACAAGTTAGTGATACTGATAAGAAATACAAAGAGACTGCACTCAAGACTTTTGCGGTAAGTTCTAAATTTTTCATTGAGACATTTGTTCAAGCTATGTTTCTTTTAGTTAGCTTGTAAGAATGATTTGGAGCAAAGAGCATTGGAGTTTATGGAAATTCTAGCGAATCCGCAAATTCTGACATTAGGGTTGAAATACGCTTCTAAATTGGATAAAAGGAGATTGGTTGGAAAATTAATGGATCTTGCTACAAAGTTGTCTGATGAAACCGATGACTTAGGAGTTCAGGTTGGTTCTAAAGATTTTTTGTATTCAGTATAACCTTTTTATTGTAGGAAATAGCTACACCCGAACCGACAAATGTGAAACCAGTCTACAGGAAGTTAAGCCTCAGTGCTGCTAAATATTCAAGAAATAAGTCTCAAAGAACTCAAGAGGTATGTATGTACATATTTATTGTTGGGAATGTTAGAAATAATTAGAATTTTGGCAGTTATTAAATTTATACATTTTGTAGGTGTCCACACCAAATGTATCCCAAAAATCTGAAAAATCTGTAAGTTCTTATGACAATTGAGTAAAATTTATAGTTATATATCGAGTTATGTATTTTTCCAGGATATTGTAACACCCAGTAACACAGACTATAATGTAGAAGCACCAAATGAATCTACACTTAATACTCAAGTGAGTTAAATCCATTAACATTTTAATATAGGTAATTTAGCTCATAACTATTGCTGAAAATATTTCACTTCTTTTTTTAAGGAATCACTTTTTCATGAGGAAGAACCTAAAAACCCATTTCTCAAAAGTCTCAAGAAATCAACTGTAAATATTACTACGAATCCATTAAGTTTGACTGATAAATCTGCTGGTGTTGTTTTCGAGAAGGAAAACAAAAGTAGAAATGGCGAGGTTAGAATTATGTTGTAATCAATCTTTAAAAAATTAAATCAATTTTATTTTCAGGCGCGTGAGAAGAGAAAACTTTCCGATTGTGAAAATACGAAACAGAAAGAAAAGCAAAGAAAGCTAGATAGTTTTAGATTTACAAAGCATAGTTAATTTGATGTTATACATATAAGTTGTTTATTTGTTTTTACGTCAGTTTTTATATATATATTTATCTTAATAAATCGACTCGGCAACAAACCTGCATAATCTTTAAAAAAAACTGATATTGACCTAGGGGTCAGTTTTTTTTGGAGAGTGGCTAAACCTTGGTTGATTATCGGGCAACCACTTTGGGAGTTAAAAAAATGTTAAATATACATACTTGATGTACCTAACTTCCAATGGGTGTCAAATTCATACAGAAGCTATCGTTGACCTTTAGAAATGCATATTAACAGAATTTTTGTTTCAAGTTTCTTTTTTCTTTGTAACTTTCTTCGTTCATTGCTGAACAAGCTAGTGTAACTTTAAACTGCACGCTAGCCATAAGCTTATACTTTTGGGACTTATACTAAATAAAACACAACACTGCACTGTATGAATTCTTTTCGATTCCAGCAAAAATATTTTTTACGTATCCTATGATAAACACCTTACTAATAAACTGAAAACTACAATAACATAACATCGGTATATTCTTTTTTGCCTACCTGGTACCATGTTATATCAGATGGATTGATATTATGTAGTTTACCTTAGTATTAAATCAATGTCGGGGGTCATTGACACGGCAATTTACAAACTAAACACAGTGCTTTAAAAAATAGTAACAAATATTTTTTATTTAAAACTTGAAATGATTTAAAAGATATTTCAAATCTATCAGATTAGAAAGTATTTGTATTTATATTTTTTATTGCGTACATTTTATAAAACTAAAAATAATTATTTTAAAACAAATTAGTTTTACTTACAATTAGTAAAAAATATACTCACATACCAATATTTAATAAACTATGCAAAAAATATTAATTTTTTAAACACTTGAATATTTTTTTAATGTTCGGTGCATCTACATTGACAAAACAATGTGGTGCAGTTTTTTAGTAGGTGTAAGTTGATCTAAATTGTAAAAAAGGTGTAACATAGTTACAAATTTAATAAAAGCATGAAGATTAATTGGAATCGGCAGATGCATATTAACTTTTGAATAGACGTAAGTTGATCTAATTGTAGAAAAGGTTTATATTATATACAGGGTATTGCATAAGCTTGTACAAAAAATTCAAAACTTGGAAAATTTTAATGGGGTCTTTTATATAATTTTTTTAAATAGTAGCCTCCCCTAAGAAGTTAGTCTATTAAAGGAGGACAGTGTAAACTGGTTTTTTGAATTTTTTTCAAAATCCGTTGAATATAAGCAAAGGAAATTTGGTGTGATTATAGTGCTTATAGAATCATATTTTACTAACATATTTTTAATTTTCTTGGTTTGCTATAAAGGGCTGAAGTAAACCACCCCTCAAGTTTTTTCTACAAACTTTATTATTTTTTTAGATTTCATAAGCAAAATTATACTTTTAAGATGCTTTTGTTTATTCAGAAACTTTTGTCTCTTAAAAAATTTTTGTATTGCTCTTAGTTTTTGAGAAAAAAATATTTTTTTAGAACGCAAAATACGGTATCAACTGAGGTTGTGTGTAATTTATTCGTAGTAAGCTGTTGTCACTACAATGATCGATGAGTCCTTCAAAATAAGTATGTACCATTTTTTTTCTGTCATTCAAATTCATAGTTTTCAAACACGGATCATTTGCCCCCTGCAACGTTCTAAAAAAATATTTTTTTCTCAAAAACTAAGAGCAACACAAAATTTTTCTAGGAGACAAAAAGTTTCTGAATAAATAAAGGCATCTTATAATATTATTTTGCTTATGAAATCTAAAAGAATAAAAAAGTTTGTACAAAAAAACATGTAATGGGCCGGCCACACATACAGGCTTTACCGCACGCTTGCCTGCACAAACCAGTTTGTATCGGGAAGCCCGTACGTGTGGCCGGCAAAACGTTATCTCGCACAAACTGAAAAGCGCGGCTTGCGTAAACTTCGACTTGCTGAAGATTTTGTTTGTGTAAATTCGGTTTGCACGGTAAAATTGGAGCGTGTGGACGGCGCACGGTGTTCAGTTAAGAGAAATTGCGGCAGAAAACCTTAAATCTCTATATTATCTCCCTGTAGCCAAATATCTGAGAGTACCAACTCAATCTTTCATGTGGAGATATATATACAGTCTGTTTCACTTAAAGTCGGGACACCTCCGTATTTAGGATGGCGTTGGCCGATTTCCAAAATTCTTTTTTTATGTGGTAGTAGGTACTCACAAAGGCCTAATTTTTAATATTATATTTTTTGACATGTGATATTTTCTACGGCCTACTATCATTAAGAAAAGACCCTCAAAAATTAAAAAACATATTAGGCATTTTTTTAAGAAAAAATGGATAGCATTTTCGATTTGATCACACCTCAAAACCCTAAATACAAAGTTTCATTATTATAGCTTTTACAGGGTGTTCACAAAATAGGTGAAACTTCGAAACATTTCACTTATTGCAGTGTTCTGTATTAACAGTGAAAAATATTTTCAAGGTATTTTTTCATAATTTTATTAACCGAAGGTATATCCATACAGTTTCATTGATTTCACTCATACAGTGTGTTCACAATAGGACAGCCAAATTATATCTATTTTTTATTATACCAGAAATGAGTTTCACAACGAAATAATATTTAAATATGTATTACTATTTTCTATTAGTCCACCATGCACTCTTCAATTCATCTCCTCTTATTTCTAATAACTTTTCTCAACTGATGTAGTGTTATTTGTCGACATGCTTGTCTAATTATATTACATAAATCTTAATTAAAAATTTAACGTGTTTTGCAGGATTTTATGTGATCAAATAATTAGGCCCTTCTTTTTTTGCGTTAATCTAAACGCGAGATTTTTATGAATTTTTTAAACAATGATTTCTGGGATTCAGTACATGTATTTCCTCTTCATGTAAGACAGAACCTCTACCTTCAATTATATGGAGCACTTATTCATAATGCGGTAATAGTAGGTACGTCATTGGTTGAATGAGTATTTCCCGAGAAAGTGGATAGGTCGCAACAGTCCGTTAGCTGAGTGGCCGTCAAGAGCTGCAGACTTGACGCCACTTGATTTTTATGTAATAGACAAACATGTCGACAAATAACACCACATCAGTTGAGGAGAGTTATTAGAAATAAGATGAGACGAATTGAACAGTGCATACCAAATTATGTGGACTAACAGAAAACAGTAATATTTAAATATTATTTTGTTGTGAAACTCATTTCTGGTATAATAAAAAATATATATAATTTGCTTGTCCTATTGTGAGCACCCTGTATGAGTGAAATCAATGAAACTGCATGGATATACTTTCGGTTAATAAAATTATGAAAAATATCTTGAAAATATTTTCCACTCTTAATACAGGATACTCTGCAATACGTGGAATTTTTCGAAGTTTGCACCTATTTTGTGAACACCCTGTAAAAGCTATAATAATGAAATTTTGTATTTAGAGTGTGATAAAATCGAAAATGCTATCCATTTCTTTCTTAAAAAATGCCTAATATGATTTTTAATTTTTGAGTGTCTTTTCTTAATGATTGTAGGCCATAGAAAAGATCACATGTCAATACGGAGGTGTCCCGACTTTAAGTGAAACACACTGTACATATGTACATAGATTCGCGCATTACAGTATTTTGTCGGTTTATGAAGGGATCACCAATCCTAGTAATTTAGTATACGCCATTTCAACCATTCTCATATAATTACGCCAATCGTTGGGATCTTCTCTCAAATCCTTCATTAAATTTATATGTGAATGTGTATTTCTGTTCAGAAGCCATTTTTTGACCATTTTGAACGATGACGTCTATTTATTATTTTTTTTTTACTAATGTAAAATAGAAAGAGGCTAATACCAAAAATTCTTCGCTTGGATATGTATTCCTGAGAAACGTACTGATTGCTGCCTGCAGTGTCTGCAGCCTGCACGGTCTTACCTGCATCGTGTGGCCACAACACAGTATTCCGTGTTTATTGCGCAAACCATACCGTGCAGGCAAGTCGCTGTCGTGTAGCCGCCGCATAAGGGGTGGTTTACTTTATCCATTTATAGCAAACCAGGAAAATAGAAAATATGCTGGTAAAATACGATTCTATACTAGGACTGGAATCATACTAAATTTCGTTTGCTTATATTCAATGGTTTTTGAGAAAAATTGAAAAAACCAGTCTACACCGTCCGCCTTTTATAGACTAACTTTTTAGGGGAGGCTCTAATTAAAATAAATTATGAAAGACTTTCTTTAAAATTTTCCAAGGAATACAGTCCTAATTTTTTTTTTTTCACAATGTATTTTATAAATTTAATAATAAGATGAAAATTAATTTGATTAAAATATCCTCAAATACTCCGCTCTCGACATCATTCAGACTTCATTTTAGTAATATGTAAAACGAAGCTTACTTACTTCTTTTTTACTGTAAATAATGTATTCCATAAAATACCATCGGTTTTTATAATTTACGATAAAAAACAAAAATGGCAAAAGAAACGAAAACTTTCATCTTCACACCCTAAAAATAAATATTTACTGAATTTATTTAAATAATATTTTTAAAACCTTGTAATGTTCTAAGGAAGATCTATAGATTTGGTTTCATCTTTCACCTAAAGAAACTGTTCTTGGAGTATAATCCATCACTTCTGGATATTATATCTAAATAATTCTTGGTTGATACTAAATCTATGCCAAAAATAACTTTATTTATTTTTTTAAATCCATTTGTAGATATTAAAACTAGTTTGCATTAAAGTTATACCCTAACATGACATGAAAAATATAAATCTTTCTGATTAGTATGTAGCTTCGTTTTGGTTCTGAAATCGAGTACTGTATGAAACTAATTCATAAACGACACAGAACTATATGCGCATTAAACTGTACAGGGTGTCCCACCACGAACTCCATCGATGGATATCTGGGAAACCGCTCGAAGGATTTTTTTGAAATTATGATGGTATGATATGAATCGTGGGGCCTACCAAGCTAAAATATTCATGGTCATCGTATTGAAGTCAAGTTGAAAACATATAGCACACTCCATACTTAGGATTGACCGTTTCCAAGATATTTTGATTTTTAGGCAAAAATTGACAGGTGCAGACTTTCAGTAAAATTTAGTTTTCCCGGAAACACAGATTCATTTTTTTGTGCAAATTGGATATTTTGTAGAGGAAGACCTAATTTATCGAATTTGACACGAAAATTTTCCAGTTTTTATACAGGGTGGTCAAAAAAAATTATCAAATATGAAGTTCAGAAAATGTGGAAAACTCGAAATTTTTAAAACTGCTCCTTTTGTCAGGATAGATCATAAAAGCGCATGTACAAATATGCAAGAACTATTTCAAACTGATTTTTGAAAAAAACGAAAATAGGGTTTATTTTATATTTTGCATGATTTAGCAGCGTAATTTGTTGGAATAGTACACAATATTTAATGTACACAAAAACCTTGGAATTAAAAAAAAAATCAATATGGAATTAATGAATTGTGAAGGAAGATAAAATAGAAGTATGTTATAGGGACTAAAAGAATATCATTTACTTTTCATACATTTATTTAAAAAAAAATATTGCGACAATATCGTAAGATTAAAATTGCAACATTATTGAGTTCATATTCGTTTTAATAAATTTTTCATAAATCAAAACGAGTTGATTGATATATTATGTTATAAAAAAATATCAGCACGAGTTTTTGGAAAACAATTGAACAATCTCTAGTACGCTGGATAAAAACAAGTACCTAATATCTTTTACTTCACATTTGAGATAAATAAAACACCTTTTAAAACCTTATCTTTGTGTACCTAATAATTAACAATTTCTATAATAAATTTACCTCAATATAAATGTCTACGATGTGTGTTTTCTAGGATCGCTGAAAATGCCTTTAGCGAATAAATTCTGCCATTCTTTTCCATTAGGATATTCGTAGTTTTCAACTGCCTCCTTTTTAAATGAAGCATTATAACCAGGAGTCTGAAACAGAAAGAATGTCACGTTTTTTATTAAAAAAATATCAATATAATTTTTTCTAATTTTATGTTCAGTAGTTAACTTACCCTAGGTGCTAAATAATGAGCATTTTCTACAATGGTAGGATTAACAAAATGTTCGTGTTGCTGATCTATGTACTCAATAAATTTGCCCTCTGATGTTCCAGAAAGAGCTACGTAGTCCCACATTTGCAAATGCTGTACCATCTCACAGAGACCAACTCCACCAGCATGAGGACAAACTTTCACTATAACAGATATAATGAAATCAAAATTGTTTTTCTACGACTATCAGACTATTTTCAGAGTTACAAAGTTAGGACCCATGACCACTGATCCATCGAGAACCCTCAATTTCATGATCTAATAGGAAGTCTAACCTTTAATGGAAAGCAGGATGTGAATTTTTCATGTGTAAGACAGAGATCTTTACTTTTGTTTCTTAGGAATCTTTGTGATAGTCATGGAAAAAATATAAAATTCACCTCAAAAACATTTATTACCTCCTAACTTTTTGGCCATTAGATATACGGATAATATCTCATTAACACCTCCAATTCTCGCAGAATCGATTTGACAGTATTGAATGGCATCTGCCTGAAGGAACTGTTTAAATAATACCCTGTTGCAGCACATTTCTCCAGAGGCTACACCAATGCCGAGGGGTTTAAGAGCTTGGGAAATTTGAGCATGGCCCAACACGTCATCCGGAGAAGTAGGCTCTTCAATCCAAAGAGGTTTGAACTGTGCCAACTGGGTCATCCAGTCGATAGCTTCTTGTACCTCCCATACTTGGTTAGCGTCGACCATCTAAAGGCAGGCATTTGTGTTAATATTGCAAATTCTGAGTTGCATTAGCAAATTTTTTATTCAAAATCTGATAACATATTCTATGATCCTTGGCTTGACATTTTTTTCATTATTACAGATAGAAAGTGTTATTGTTCGAATATAGAGTAAATTATCTCTTCACGAGAAAAATTGAATGAATAGAAAATTATTGTAATATATGAGAATATACTTCTACTGTTACATGTTTAAATTTGTATACAAAATTTTATAATTAGATAGAAATTGGTATGGTTGATTTTGAGGGATGTAGATGGTTGTTTTCACAGATACGGCTCTTAGGGTCTATTAAACAAATGTTTTGTTTTGAGTACACTGAAATATTTAAAATTTTAAATAAATATATTTACTTACCAATATTTTATCCCAGCCAATTATGTTCCTTACAAATTCTAATCTTTTGATGTCATCATGTAAGTTCTGCCCTACTTTCATTTTAAAAGCTGTAAATCCTAGATCTACGTACTTTTGTGCCAATTGACTAATTTTTTCATTAGAATAACCCAGCCAACCTAAAAACACGAAACAGTTACAAAAAGTGAATATAAAATGGAACATTCCATGCCAAATCACTGAGGTCGCGACCGGACCATTTTTAATTTTCCTGATTTTTTTGTATTATTTAGTACCTACTTAGAGTAGCTTTCATGAATTTTTTAAATTTGTATTTCAACCGTCGAGAAGTTATAAGCTTTGAATACTGGTAACTTGGAAAAAACTAAAGGCATCATAAAAATCTTTTTCATTTTGTTCATTTTGAAATGTAGTTTTATTTAAAAAATATAAAAATAATACATTTTTAGTTTTAAAATTTTTTTTTTAACTAAAAAAGTGCTTTTTGAAAGTGACGTTTTTTCATCGAAAAATCTTTCAATATGCAAATTTATATGACAGGTTCTAGAGTGGGATTTTTTTTAATTCTACTTTTACAGATAATGTACGATATAAACCAAATTTTATTACAGAAGTAAATTGCGATGACAAATTACTAAAAATACTATATATTTTTAAAACTACAGGTATTGTCATTACTAAGAATATATTCATTATCATTTACTAAATGTTAATAATTTAAAGTTTGTAATAAAATGCATTTTACCTGCTTGTGTTGTATAGCAAGGATATCCTATTTCCAATAATTTATTCACTCTTTCTTGCTTGCCTACCCTTCCTTGTTTAAGTAATTCGAGGGCTTCTTCTTTTGTAATCACATTTGTTAAGTACCTGAAGTCAATACATGCTATCAATTGTTCCGGTTCGAGGTCTGCAAGAAGTTGCCAAACGGGTTTTTTCAATAATTTACCCCACAAGTCCCATAAGGCATTTATGATCGCAGCAGTTGCAAGATGAGTAACTCCTTTTTCGGGACCAATCTAAAAATGTTTAAAATACTAAATTATGAATAAAGGTATGTTTTCCTGGGAACATGTTAAAATTGACAACTTTTGAAGTTATTTTTAATGTTAAAGGTTACTACATATTTATACCTCCTTAAATTACCTCGATGGTGCATTAAAAATGTAAATAAACAGACTCGTTTCAAATTTTTATGTTAGTGATATTTTATGAACAGTGTCAACTTACACTGTATACAAGTTATTGACAAAATTTTATTATGTCCATTCAGGCTATAATGATAGGTTTTGAAACACCAAAAAAAAATAGGCCAGATATATGATTTACCATATCGTAGATATCATTCTTTAAATCTCTTAAATGCTGCTCCACCTTTTTGATTTGTCTAGCAGCAAATTAACAGTTTTCCTTCGCAGCTATCATTATATCAGCAGGGGAACAAGATACGTTATTACTTTCGTCATTATCAGACATTTTAGAATGCACAAAAACGACAACACAATTCTAACAAAACAAATTCGGTAACAGTGACAGATTAATGTTAACAATACCAATACACTTTTAATTATTATGATGGAGTAATGTGCCACCTCAAATTTCAAACAGCAGTGGCAGAAATTTTCATAAATGAACATATTTACTTACCCATCTCAGTTGGCTTTCACTAGTCAGGGATCGCCAGAATGTGCCAAATTCTTTATAAATATCAGTTACAACTTGACCAACAACTAGCGAGCTTAAGGTTTTTACTGCTTGTACAACAATTTCTGTACCTCTACCTAGCGTAAATGTTAGACCATGTCCTTCCAAACCTGTCTGTAGTGTTATAGTGACATAAGCGCAGGAATAATCAGGGTCAGTATGCTAAAAAAAAATGTGTAAGTAATTATCTTGGAATTCTTTCAATTTTTCTTATTTCGAGGTTTTCTCAGTTTAAAGTATTTTTTTATGTACATATGATTTATATTTTTTGTCATGCCAATTTTATTCCTCCTTTTGGCTTATGAAAGTTATTTTTAATAATTAAATGAAAAATTAATTATAAATCATAAACTCCTTCGACTAATCTAGATCCAGTTTTGGAAATTTCCTTAATTCATTTAAGTAACTTGTTAAAATTGGAGAAATCTATTAGTATTTATCTCAGGTCATAACATGAAGGTCATGACTTATTGTATTACAATTTCCTTTTTTAGGTATTATTTATATCATATAAGATTTACATTATTTTCTCTGTTTAAATTATGTATTTCAAGTTTAAGTCAAATTTTATTTTTGTATTCAATTAAGCAGCAGGAAAACACTCTAAATTATTATCACTTACTGTTCTACTAATACTTTAATTTTTATAATCCAGTAGTACTCAAGTGATAAATATTTTTGTGGTACCTTTTAATATAAAAGCTACATACGGCTTAATAAGTGAAATATATAACAAATAATTCTCTATTTATTAAAAAAAAGGGCAGTAATTAAGGAGTAATTTTCCTGCAATGACAGTCCTTTAAGTCAGTAATCAAAGTTATATAATAGTGTGATAATAGAAACGTAATTTTACAGTTCAAAGAATAATATACTTATTACAATATTTGTTCTGATTTTTCTTATTTGAATACGCCTTCAAATTTAATTTAGGTAATAGTTATATTATATATAATGTAAATGTTTAATGAATATTATTTTATACAGATCAATAAATGTCTGAGCAAAACAAAACATTTAGAAACAAGCCTACATGCATAACCGACACTATCTTCTATCTGCGTTATAGGAAATCTCTTTGTAAGTTTTAAAAAACAAATAATAAATTCCCAGTGTAATATTCTTTATCATCTTTTACTACATTATGATATGAAAATAATAACTGACGGAAAAATAACATTTTGGCATGCTTCCAAAGAATATTGTTTAAAATAGAGCACTTCCACTACTACTAAATAAATAGTTACATAATGTTTCTATATTTAAAAGTATATTTACTCAAATTTAGAAAGGTTTTATTGAAACTTTTAGTGCTTAAAGAATTTTAAATTACACTTACCATAGCATCTGAGCCATCAGCGTGCAAGGATGTAGGAAAGCGAAGGTCCTTAACATCTAAGGATACAATTTTTAAATTTTCTGTAGTTTGTACGTGACTCATCTTGCCTCTTTGGCAAAAGCCCCAATATGCTATTCACTATGCTTTAAACATGAAAATATTTATCACTTTTAAATTTACTAGTATTTATAACAAATTTGTTTACTACACCAATTTTACCAGATATCACCTTATCATGTTTGCTCTTAATTCAAGGACAATCAAGATATTTAGTGCAGGTCACAGGACTTCAATTTACTTTTATGTCATATGAAAGATAATTAGATAAGACGTGTGGAGTTGGGCGATTTTCTTTAGCTTATTTGAATTAGCATTTTTTTATTTAATATTACTATTCATATTTGATACAATGAATCAAATTCATTATTTTTACTCTTTTGTCAGATTTAATAGGTGTGTTGATATTTCTCAAATGCTGATATTTTATTTTTTTGTTTTTCAAAATTTTCTGTGGTGTCTATATATTTATTACCTATACTTACCTCATTTTTTTTATGCATTTTTTAAACTCTAAAAATATTTGCTTATTTAATAATAATTTATAATAAATAAATTTATTAATATATGGACATGTGTTAGAAGAATATTCTAAATTTTTTTATATTTTATATCGCTTCTGTTTGACATTGATTGAAAAAAAAAAGAATATGGGTAGATAACAATCTAATCGTAATTAAACATGATGGTTATACAGTAAGCACCAAGCAGAGTGTTATGCTATTGCTAAACTTATTTATCTTTATTAAAATTTTTATAAACCATAACAGCTGGAATTTAGGAAAGTGTACATGGTGTTTCAGAAAGACCTTCCGTAAATTCAGGGGGTGTTAGTATGACAAAAAATAAGAATTTTTTGTCTTATGAACTATATGTCTATCTCCTCTTGTTTTCGAGATACAGAACGACAAAATAAAATTTTTTAAATAGAATCTTTACGAAAATTTCCAAACGGCGCGAAATATTTTTATGAAAGTTGGTATTCCGGAGTTTTTAAGGATGTCAAATATGCTGGTCTAATTATTTTTTGTATATTTCATAGAGGGCGCTAGTTATGCTACATTCGTATTACATTTACATGTAATACGAATGTAAACAAAATTTATTTTGTCGCTCTGTATCTCGAAAACAAGAGGAGATAGACATATAGTTCATAAGACAAAATATTCTTATTTTTTGTCGTACTATCACCCCCTGAATTTACGGGAGGTCTTTCTGAAACACCCTGTATAGGGTTATATCTTATATCAGTATCTCGTATTACTTAAAAAAATAATTACTAATAGATTAATAATCTTGGAAGCATTATAGAGAATTAAAAATTGAGTTAGACTATATAAATAAATCAATAGTTTTACTATAGTACATTGTGTAACGAGTGGGGAAAAGTTGCCAATAGCGCCACGCGGATGCAGTTGACGCACGAGCGAAGTGAGTGCGGAAAGCGCCCAAGTGGCGCTATGGCAACTTTTCCGAACGAGTTGCACATACTATTTTCTATCACAAGTGCGAGTCATTATGGAACCTATAGCATAGGGGGTTAGGTGCACGGAAATTGCTAGATAGTCTAGCACTACACAGCTAGATCTAGCACTTTCCGTGCACCTAACCCCCTACACTATAGGTCCCATAGCGAGCGCGCGTGATAGAAAATTCTTTTTAAATGCATTTATTTCATTGTAATCACTTAAGTATTCATTACTATCTTTGTTAGATGTAATTTGGGTTTTTATATAATAGATAAAATTTCAATATCAAATTCATATTGCATTCACACTTGAACAAAAATCTAATTGTCGTAATATAAATTATGATAAAATCAGAAACAAGTGTTTAATCAAAAACATCTGATCACTATAAATATCTATAGGAGTATTTTATATGGTTGAGTGTTATGCATTACTTTAGTAGTCCTCTACTATATTAAAAATAAAATTATACAGCGTGTCCCACTAGTGTGGGAAAGTCCAATATCTATGTTAAAATGAGGAATATATGGATTTTTCTTTTTACTGTGTTGCCACATTTCTCGGAATGCAAAATTGAAAAATCTCGAATTTTTTAAATGCAACCCCCTGTATATTTTCATACCATGAGATGCAGAATTAATTTCTCTACAACTTTGCTATACCTGCTCCTACACCAAAATTCATTAGTTTTTCATGAAATCTCATTTCTAAAGAAGAATTAGTAAATAAATAATAGAATAATTAGTAAAACTCATGGTAACTGTTTATTGACAAGTATTTACCAAACTAATAATCCAGATTTACAAAGATATCCTCGTACAAAGTGTTTTGTAAAACTGAAGGAGAGGTTTGAAAGAACAACAAATGCAAATTATGAGAAGACAACAAGAACACACGCATGCAGTATCCAAAACAGTAAATTAACATCGTGCATTTCTAACAAAAGTAATAAAGACCTAGTTAAATTAGTAATTAACAGGTAACCGCTCAAAATGTCTGCCATTTTTCTCTAGACATTGAGCAATTCTACGACGAAAATTGCTTGACACATTTCGCAGCATTTCCGGAGTTACGGTCAAAAAAGCATTTCTTATCTTTGCCCGTAAATCTTCTACATCTGTCGGAGGAGTTTCATACACCCTGTCTTTTATATAGCCCCATAAAAAAAATCAAGACAAGACAGGTCTGGGGATCGGGGAGGCCATGGAATTGGCTACCTATCCACTTATCTGGATACAAATCATTTAAGTATTCTCTAACCTGAAACAGTTTTTCTATGAATTTACATAACTTACATAATGAGAAAACTTACCGCCAGTGTGGAATGTGCAGGGGCACCATCATGTTGGAACCACTGACTGTTTAAGTCATCCGGAGGAATATGTCCCTGCAATTGGAGCAAGTCGTTTTGTAAAAATTGCAAATACCCATTACCAGTTAAGTTTCCTTCAAGAAAATGTGGTCCAATGACATATTCTCCGCATATTCCCGCCCAAACGTTGACTTTAAAGCGGTGTTGATGATCGTCTTGTCTTATTAATCTGGGATTATGATCGGCGTAATGGTGATAATTATGTCGACTCTCTCGACCAGTATTGGCAAAGGATGACTCGTCAGTAAATAACACCTTTGAAAAAAAAATTCATCTTGTTGTAGCTTTATAGTTGCCCACTCACAAAACTGTACTCGCTTCTGAAAATCTTGCTGTGTTAAGAATTGGTGATGCTCAGAATGATAGGGGTGGAAGTTGTTTTTCTTTAACGTTCTATTAACCACACTTTTGGAAATACTAATTTCATCACTAATTTCTCTGACACTTGTAGATGGATTTTGGACTGCACATTCCAAAATGTCAATTTGACTATCCTGATTACCACATGCGTGTGTTCTTGTTGTCTTCTCATAATTTGCATTTGCCGTTCTTTCAAACCTCTCCTTCAGTTTTACAAAACACTTTGTACGAGGATATCTTTGTAAATCTGGATTATTAGCTTGGTAAATACGACTTGCCAATAAACAGTTACCATGGGCTTCTCTTCTTCTATTAAACCTTTCTTTCTATTAAACCTTATGTGAATCGAAAATTTTCCAGATTATCATTTGACAGGAGCCTACTACGTTATTTTACATATAAGCTATTTGTAAACTTCGCATTTTTTCATAGAAATGAGATTTCATGAAAAACTAATGAATTTTGGTATAGGAGTAGGTATAGCAAAGTTGTAGAGAATTTAATTCTGCATCTCATGGTATGAAAATATACAGGGGTTGCATTTAAAAAATTCGAGATTTTTCAATTTTTAAATTGGCAATTTTGACATATTTTGGTCACCCTGTATAACGCAGGCCAATTTTTGGAGCATGATTCGGAAGAGTCATCCTTACTAAACATTTGATAAAAAAATGAGCATAGTAGCTATTAATATAACCTGTAAGTATCAGAAAATGTAAGCAGCCAATATCGACTAGAAAAACCTTTCAAGCAAGGTATCTCAAAATGAATATTTGTGAATATTTAGATAGAACTATTCTACACAAAGTACCCTTTATTTTTGATGTAGAATCGGAAAAAAATATAAAAAATGTGTGTTTCCATTTACAAAACCAAAGTTGGTGTCTGGCCAGGAAAAGTGGAACACCCTGTATAGTTGAATATATTTTTAATTTGTACATTCCGAGGAATGTGACAACACAGTAAAAAGAAAAATCCATAATTATATTCCTTATTTTAACATAGATATTGGACTTTCCCGCACTAGTGGGACACGCTGTATATTATCTTTTCAGAAATAAATACAAATTAGTAGGATCCTCTGAAATTAGAAAATTATTCTCAATTCACAAAGACTTAAAATATATAAATTTGATACATGCAATGAAAACAAGAGCAAGTGCATTTTTATTAAAATAAATAATAATAATAATATCATTTTCCACTTAATGACATGAAATCTACTCTAACAAATATGAGCTAATAGATTTTATAAAATAAGTAAGTTTAGATTTATTGGGCAAAAAAATGTAATCAAACTAAAATACTAGTAAAAATAGTATCTTATAATTGTTATTTTCATAATAAATTGTATAATAAAAAAGTCTTTTTTTTATGTGGCACCTTGTATGTTTTTACATAACCGAATAAAATACCTTCCTAGGATTAAAGTGATATAAAGTTTGTCAGGCATATCTGATGATGTATCTCCCTTACTATTAGAGATAGACTAAATGGAACCTCATAAAACGGTAATCACAGGAAACTGTAAATATGTAAAAATATACAGGGTGTTCCATTTTTAAAATTTTGATTTTTAAATATCTATAAAACTGGACATCCTATTACCATTCTTTTTTTTTTTGTACTTCATCAATACATTGGACTTTATATTTTCAATATTAACAGCGTTAGCAGTGACGAATTGATAAATGTGGACACGGTGTATAATCTCTCGGAAGCGTTATAAAGGAGAAATACAATATTGAAATTCATAAAATATATTTTTTTAAGTAAGTAATCTAGATAGCCAAACAATTTGGTACAAATAAACCGGCATGTTATAAAATATCACAATGTCAAGATTGGCTCACAATCAGTTATAAGTGATCTCTGCAATGTTTAATATTCTCTTTTACAAGTTCTCTTAAGAGAATAAAATTGAATGATAAACTGGCATTATTTGTTAAAGTTTTGTCAGTTAGATAAGTTAGTCAGTTCATCCTGTATAGTCGAACACATGGTCGAGTGCCATGAAGTACATGTTACGTATTCGTTACGTGGTACGTACGTATACACCTTCAGAGTAAATGTGTAGTGGAATACACACATTCCGATCGATCATATATTTCAAGAGCTGTGGTTGATTTAAATAGATATGATGGAATATTCGTTATTAAAAACATTGAAATATATGCTATCTGATTTCTCGTTATCATGTAGACGGTTCATATTAAATCATTTACATAATGGTTTTTTCATCGCCACTGCAAGATAACATGACATGCCCCTTTCTCAATTACCACTGAACTGATAAAACAAAAATTGATTGATAATAGCAAAAGCATATAATATTATTTGTTGAGTACCTGAATAATCTTTCTGTGAACATTTAAATTAGGGAAAATAATTGTTTAGTGTTTCTATTTTTGATTAATGTGGCCAATATTTAAATAAAAATTGTTTCATACGGTCAAATAAATCCATTGATTTAAACTACCTTCTATTTCTCTCATGTGTTTTATAAGTATATATCACATCAGGGATATTGCTCTTATTTTAAACCCGAAAGCCTCAACCGATTGTTTAAGTCATTAATTTAGATCAGAAAATCAGATGTTTGTAATCAATGAAATAAAGAACTTAGCCCCTAAAAAAATAGTTTAAAAAAGTGGGTCATTATTTTGGAAAATATTGCTTTACACAATTTATTACAATTTTTTGATATGAAATGGTCTAAGAGATAACCTTATGACATAAATTTAGAAAACTCTGTACAGTTTATATTCTATAAAAAAAAACTAACCATACAGCTTAAAATGTGTTTTCTTTAATATGTAATGAAGTTAATACATGTTGTTTGTAATATTCAGTTTGATAAAGTTGATTTCTCATGTCGTGAATTTTCATTTCAATATTTTCCAGCTGTTGTAATTGATTTTGCAGTAATTGTGCAATATGTTCAATCTGAAAATGTAATTATGTCTATTATTACCATTTTTTACTTGAACAATATACAGGGTGGAGACTTTAACTGGAATAAATTCACTACAGGGGAACTGAATAATTTTTTGAAAAATTCCTAACACGTCAACGTTTGAATGTATTTACCAGCCTTTTTCAAGCAATATGCGAAATGTAACCCTCAGGGAGGGCAGAAGTCACCCCCCAACTTTTTTTTTCAAATGCAACAATATGGCGTGTGACCCTTCATTGGAAAGGTAACAGAAAGATGGGTCCAGTGTACTGATCACATTTATTATGTTTCAAGAGGTTGAGCGTTGCATAACATTAAAATGTAATTGTTCAGTTTATTACTTTTCAACGTAACAATTGCTCAAAATGTGCACCATTTACTTGTTGCCAACATGCTATCCAATCCAATATCCAATTTCCGGTGTTATTGCCTCTTGCATCTCTTATTCTGTTCTTCAGCTCATCGATGTTATTTGGTTTTTAAATGTAAATCTTAGATTTGAGATGTCCTCACAGAGAAAAAATGGTGATGGCCACTCAATGGTACCTCGTCGTCCTATCCACCTACTGGGGAAAATTTTATCCAGATTTTGGCAAACAATAACAGCGTAGTGTGCCGAGGTCCCATCATATTGAAGCCATAACCTCTCGTCGGTCAAATTAGAGTCCAAGGGATTTGGGAATAACTGGCATAGAATTGGCATTCATCTTCATCTTCATCTAGTGGTTGGTCCTTTAAAAGTCCCATAGCACTGCGGCCTAATTAGGCCTATTGTGCGTCCCACTACTAGTCCTAGTCAGCAAGTAGATTTGTCCTTTTTACAAAGTCCAAAAGCTTCCTTGCTGACACTTCTCTCAGTTCCTTGGGTTCCAAATAGGGTCTCCCAAGGAGCGCCATTCTGCTACGTGCAAATCCCGGGCACTCGCCCAGGATATGCAGAGAAGTTTCATCCGCCGATTCACATCCTCGGCAGACCGGACTGTCTACAAGCTTTAGCTTATGTAGATGTTTC